GTTTTAGACTGTTGGAAAATCCCTACTTTATTAATATAATCTGTGAGCACTAACAACCATTATCTGCAGCTCTAAAAATATAACACTTATCAGTACATAGATTCTAACCCTGCTGCCTGGTTCCTCTTTGTCAGGAAAGATGTCGATGATGGGAACGAAGTTGACAACAGCGGACTCAAGAGCAAGTTCTGTCACGCTTGTGGGACCAAGTACCCTGTCGAATCTGCCAAATTCTGCTGCGAGTGTGGGATCAGGAGGATGTGTATTTAAACAGAGGGAAGAAAAGACACACACCTGTACTCAAGATGGTTTCGGAGAGTTTCATGAGTTGCACATCTGTCAGTTAGGCTGGAGATATACTTGCGGTTAAGACACACACTGTTAGCGATGACAACCAGCTGCTTCGTTAACGTAGTTGTTCACGTACTGTTGTGCTGTTGCCAGAGGGCCCATGATGGAGAAATCAGATGTTAATGTTAACATGCGTACAGGTTGCTTTAATTTCTGAGGACTTGCACAACCAACGCTCCAAATGGACGCAGGATCCACCAGGCAGCCATCATACACACACATACACGTAGTTAACAGCAAGTGTTTCTCCGGCCTTAGGTTTTGTTTCAAAGTAGTGAGGTTGCGCTGGGTTTTCTTTCTTTCTTTATTAAGAAGTAGGATCATTACTCGTACAGTACTGCTGAACAGTGCAAATTCTGCCATAAACATTTTCATAACTAAGCTGTTCAACTCTCTAGCTGATATTAGTGAAACAGGAACAACTCGCAGAGCTCATTGCTCGTAATGAGACATTTTCTTACTGCTGGATTCACCCACCATGACGCCGCTGTTCCCACCAGTTTATAAACTTAATTGGTGTGAAACTGGAGATGATGGAAGGATTAATAATTTGTAATAACAAGGAAAAAAAAATCCTCCATGATTGTTTTGGTCATGGGAAGTTATGTGAGTTATTTGAAACTCCTAATTTTATTGTCACCTGGACAGTAATTAGGAGGACCCTGTAGAGCTGAGTCAGGATCAGCAGTTAAGCCATGCATCCTAAGAGAAAGTAGAGGAGAGAAGAGTGAGAGTGTATCTACAAGCTGAGAGGTGGGTTGTAATATGTGAAAAAGAAGGCGGAGGGAAAAGTGCAGGACACATCGTTAGAGGTGGGTGTGATTGTATCCCCGTATCTGCAACCGTGATTTGAAAAAAATCCCCCATCTGCCTCTGCTCCCTTACAAACACTATGTTACTATTGACGTGCAATATGATTGACTACTGAGAAAAATGGTTTGTTTCTCTAAAGGAAAAGTTCTTGGAAAATTTGGGATATCGCAGTCCAAAAAAAAACCCCGTCAGCTTTACCAACACGTTCTAGACAAATGTAGCATTTCCCGCTCATTTCATACAATGAAATTAGCTATTTATTTTCACCAAATGAAAAGTGGCAGCATGTTTTGTTTATCTTCTGCAGAATTAAAATGTGTTTTTTTTTGAATTTGTATGAAATCTAAATGCTCCTGGGTTTGTTGCAGTTTTTCTTTTTCCTCAAAACTGTCTTTAGTCAATCTTTAGTCAGCTCAAGTCGGACCAAGAGTACAGTAACATTTGAAATGCTCTGTGTGGATATGGTTGATCTCTCTGCTTGACAAAACCAACACTTTATGATCACACAGTTCTTTTAGTGGGACGAGAAAAGGTGCATATTTAATGATCATTAACCGCAAACTTCATATCAGTCGTAGTTCTAATAATCTGTAAAAAAAAAAAAATTAAGGCATTTAATTCAACTTTCACAAAGAAAAAACACTACATTTATGGTACTTGACAGGAAATATTTAAACAGACTGGTCAGTTGTGTTTTCCTGTACTTATGACAGCACTTATTCGCCTGGATACAGTTGTGCACTTAATGCCATGTACTGTATGTTCACCATTAATAAACATCAATGAAGACGTCTCTGACCGAGTTGTGAGAGTGTTTGTTGAAGGGAGAGGAAGCAGAAAACATTGTGGTGCTGTAAATAACGTAGATCAGGGTTTTTGGATGGAAGTGAAACAAATATTACATCAGTTATCAAAAGGAGATCACACAGACCAGCTTCAATGTGTGTGAGTTGCAAAGAGAGATATGGTAGTTTTGGATAATTTTCCCAGGGCCAGAAATAATAATGAATAAAAAGTGACACAGGAAACTTGAAATGGTGGTTTCGCTATCCATTGAAAAAATGTCCACAAATATGTTTTCAATCATTCAGGGTGAGTTGAACTTTGTGATTTCCACATCGCATTACTGACACGGCCGAGTTTGATGATTTGCCCAGCAACCCAAGGCTTTCAAAAATGCCTTCCAGCAGCATAATAATAATCTTTACAAAGACAATAGGTCTCTAGCAACATCACTGCTTTATTTAGTGTAATGTAAGTGTTATGTCTTACAGCAATATTACACCATCTTTGCTTAATTATTGGTTGTCTATTAGATCAAATAACAAACGGTCGCACAATCATCTGAAAATAAACAAGAACTAATACTAAAGTGGAGAAAGGCGGGACTCTTAATTCCAAACCTTTGTCAGAGGAGTGGCTTCCAGTCTCAGACTTAGTGACCAATATATGTTGAGCATTTTAAGTGCGACACGTGAGCCTTTGCATTGTTTTAGATATAAATATATTTGGAATGTATCATATATCTTATTATTTGCTGTATGTGCTGAAAAAACAAACCTTTTACAAACAGATATTAGCTAAATGATAATGCATTATGCATGATCCCTGACAGGAAGTGGAAATATTGACAAAGGCTGTATGCAGATATTTTTACACACACAAACAAATATATATGTACACATGTAACACAAAATATGTGGCAGTTGAGCATTTTGGCGACTGCAGTACATTCATGGTAAATGTTTATGTACTTAGGCACCATGTATCGAAACACTGACCCAATAACAGTCAGGCTGTGAACTGAACTGATACATCTGTTGCGGAATGTGTTAAATCAACACAATGATATCCGAGTAGAGAGCATCAATGAAGCAGCCTTGAACAACTCCTGTGTCCACAAAACAGAGCATACAGAGATTTAGATAAAAGAGATATCAAAAGATGTGCCAGGGCAAGTTACTCTAATCCTAAGTGAAAGCAAAACTGTATTCAAGCACCTTAATGGTCCCTGGTCACACTTGGGCGGCAATGAGAGTAAATGTCGTAGCATATTCTTTACAATCTTAAGTGCTAAAAAACATTGTAGCTATAACTTAATCTCTTGTGATATTTTTTTGAATCTAATAATTGCTTCCTGTGTGCACCGTTTATGGAGTGTGATAGTCGAGTATGTTGGATGACCTTGGAACTCTCCACTTTGCTTCATGGCTGGTTCCTGTGGAGCTTGGATACGCATCTGAAGAGTCAGTTGTCCTTCAGCAGCGGCAAGAAAGATAAACTTGTTCTTGATGGGGTAGCTTAAATGAAGTGGTATAATCAAATCAAGGGCTTCTGGAAACCGTCTTTAGCGTTGTGAGCATCTCGTAGCATTCAGTGATGGCAGACAGGATCAAATTGGCTTTGCAAAGTTTTTTTGTTCCCTTGCTTCTGTTGTGCTCGTTCCTCCTTCGTCTCGTCACTGTCCTCATCTTTGTGTGGGGCTCTTTAGTCTAGTCGGAGAAAGTCAAACCAGTTTTTTTTAAATCGTGTTGAGCCCTTTTAATTGTGACTTTAGTTGTAGATATATTATTAGTCCAAGTGGCATTACTGCTACCTCTAGTGATTAACAGCCAATCAGAGTGCTTGACACAGACGAGAGGAAAAGTTGATTGATTTTGTAGTTTTTCAAGAAATGATGATAAAGGGGCGGATTTGTTCTTATTTGGTCTGTCTGCAAGGTCTGTACTTATATAGTGCTTTTCTAGTCTTGACAACCACTCAAAGCACTTTACAGTCATTAAAACATTCAACACAAATTCATACAGGGCATCTATGGGCAGCACTTTTTTTATGTATGAGGGGCCATTCAGGGTTCAGTATCTTGCCCAAGGACAATCCAATTTGAATTGATTCAA